TTTCTTAGCTTTCATGTGAGGAATGTCATTTTTCCTCCTTGTACCTTCAAACTGTAAATTATATGGCATTTGCCTTTCTTCCTTTCAATCCCTCACTGAGTCGTACAATTCAATTCTCATATCACCAAACAACTCTAATGTTGAGAAATGCTTGGAATGTGATATCAAGCCTCCAAATTTCAATTCTTTCTGGATTTTGACATCCTCTTGGTCCCCCAAACTACAGTCATTTTCAACCATATTTTCAATTACACTGGTTGATTCTAATTCCATATTTTTCTTGGAATAGCTAACAAGCATGGAGTCGATTGGCGGACGTTCAATTCTTGATTCCTCAAAATCAAGCTCACTTTCTTCCTCGAAGTCGTACTCTTCATGACCTCTTTCCACACTGTCAAGTTGGTGGGCATAATGAGCCTCAACCAATATTTTCATTTGATCTTTCAAAGTTATTCTCATCATTTTGAGTCAAGACTTGCTTCAAGTCCTCGAGTGCAAAGTTGTGCTTCTCCTCATTTTAAAGAATGGCCTCCAACATGAGCATCATCTTCTCATTTTGAGCATTTGAGATTTCGTCTTGGTTTTGATCAAGTGCCAAAGAAGGATTTTCAGCTTCAACCTCTAAGGAAGGTTCTTGGCTATCACTCACTTCCGAAGCTTTTTGGACCTCTAAAACTTCAAGTATTTCTCCCATTTGTAAGTTCAACCTTTCAAGTGCCAAATCATTTTGGAGACTTGTTTCCAAAAGTTCCTCCAAGATATTTTGCTCTTTGTTTCCTCCTTCAAGTAGGCATTCTAACATGATCTTGAACTCTCCATTTTGACCATACTCAATTTCTTGCACATCCATATTCCTATAATTTCATCATAAAAAGTATAATAATCATAGCGGGGGATTGGGGAAGGGAAAGACAAATAAGCACAATAATCCCAATGTCCATTTTGACGACCACACTTATCACAAATACTCCACTCATAGGTTTGAGATTGTACGCACAATCCGCCCCTGGGAGAACTTAAACAATTTTGCCATGAGTGTGGTCCTCCACAATAAGGACAAGGGTCATCAAAGTATGAACAACTACCATCCGACCAATTTTCATTATATGATGCCATTTTTCAAAAACTAAGAAAACAAATAAGAAGATAAACAAAGATAAGAAAAACAATTACACAAATATCCACAAGTTTGGACCAAAGCACTAACGCTTACTTCTCAAACAACCTAAATATGCCAAATTATTCCCCGGCAATGGCGCCAATTTTGATAATGTCCCAATCCACTACTAAAAAGTAAATGGACATGGTCGCATGCAATATAATTTACCCAACTATGAGTCGAGGTCAAATCCCACAGAGAACAATATGTAGGCAATTAGGCGTATAAGAGAATTATCACTTATTATGCTAAATCAAACACTTAGAAATGTTATTAGAAAATAATTGTAGCTAAATGCGAAAATACAAACTAACCTAGAAAGCAAATAAAATGATCAATGGCTACAAGCATGGATACACGTGAATTACACTCAAGTAACGATACAATGGATTCTATGATTTTACGAATATGAGAGCGTTTATGTTCATTAGCCTCGGGTAATAATTCTATATTAGCTCCTTCCAAAGACTAACAAAACTTCCTAATTGAAGTATCCCTAAAATAATTAAGAGATTAAGCACAGCCGATTATGGCTACAAGTAGTTCAATCCTATCCCTATGTAGAATCTATAAAGTGAGGGTTAAATCCTCAAGTTCTTGTTAATTAATCTTTCCCAACCCCAAATTATTTTTCCCAAAATTAATTCGAAGTAAATGGGAGAGTCCTAGGGTTAGCTAATCCCTTTGAAAACATTAAATAACAAGAATAATTAAAGAAACAATAACTCACTTTATAATAAATAAAAATCGTTCAATACATAAGCACAATAAGATATTTAATCTACACTTTAATTATGAATATTTCTATAAATATAAAATTCAAGTGTTGGAATAAATACTACATACTTAGATATATAATACAAAGCAAGAAAATAAAGAAATGAACATAAATGGGTAAGAAATTCAAAACCAAAAGCTTCAAATTTTCAAGACTCAAATGTGTGTGCAAGAACCATAACTTCCAAACCTTGTCTTCTCTAGCCTAAGGACTGAAAATAAGCCAAAGATCTTTTACAAATAAGCTGAGTTGTGTATTAAATGGTTTGGGGTCAAAATCGTAAAATTCTAGAACTACCCAGGATTTTCCGCCCATTTTCTTCTTCGCGTTCGCGAAGGTTTGTTTCCTTCACTTTCGTGTTCGCGTTTGTGCCTTCCTGTTTGCGTATAGCACTTCGCGTTCGCGAAGGTTTATTTCCTGAAGCTTTGCATTCGCGTTCAACCCTTCGCGTTTGCGAAGGGTAATTTACTGGGCAGTGTTCCAGTTTTCATTTTCGCTCCTTTTTTACTCGTTTTCTCTTGGTTTCTTCACAATCACTTCTAAATCACATAAAACCTGTAAAATGGATGTAAACGACATTAAACACGCAATTTACTCAATCAAATATAGCAAAAATCTAAAATTAACGACGAGATAAGTTGGTAAAATACCAACTTATCAAAAATCCGGAACACCCTCGCTAGAGACCGTGCGACGCGAGCTTCATCTCGCTGTGCACTGTGCCTCACAAGCTCTAACGCGAGCTTGATCTCGCTTTAACCCAGGCGGCGCGAGCTCTGTCGCGAGCAAATTGCCTCACATCGCCTGACTCTTTCTTCGATTCAATTTGCTGCCTAACTTTTGTATTTCACGTTTTCTCTTCTTTTCCTAACTTTTCAATTCTTTACATTGTTTCTTTTTCCACATTGAATGATTTTGGTCTTCAATCATAAAGACTCTATTTAATATTGATTCACCATATACTCCAAATTCGTCATTTTGTTCAAAATTCATCTCCAAAGTATCTAAACATAAAGTAAACTCAATTAAGCACACATGTAGTATAGTTTAGTATTAAAGCACCTAAAATGTAAGGTAAGTAATGCACTAAAAATATGAAATTATAGCCAAACATCACTACCCTACACTTAAATGTTGCTCGTCCTCGAGCAATCAAACTACACTTTATATAGACACGACCTTTTTAAACAGTTTTCCTAACTCATCACACTAAGAATCTTTAAAATAGAAGTACAAGGGGGTAATATCTTCACCTCAAGATGACTCACAAGTACCCTGCATTATTTACAACTTACTCTCTTACTCTAACATAGAGGTCAATGGCATTACCTTTCCTTCATGAATCAAGTGCCCTCACTCAACAAAAGAGATTAGTTCCACACACAATAAAATTTAAGAACAATTAGGAACTCAAGATAGAAAGAATTCACTCACTCTCAGAAATAACATTCATATGTCACAAAAGATGCACCATAGGCTTGCCCGTAGTGTACTACTCTACTAATCGAGCTCATTCAGTCTAGGATCAAGTAGGACTTTAATTGGTTGTAATGTCGGCTGCGGGTCGGGTAGGATACATTTGGATATAAGAGTGACTACACCTCTCTAAGCACTTTAATACATACACTTTAACATTTAAACCCCATCCTTATGTCAACCCATAACTCTACCTTCACATTAGTGTATATTAACTCCATACTTCTTTAAGCACAACTACATCAAGAGTCACCATTCTCAAGGAATGTTTTTCCCAGCAATACAACTATTTTTTTTCGATTCAAGTGGCTTTCATTTTTTTCAAAACAGTGCACCTTTCTCCTTATTTCATTAGTTCCACTCAAAAGCCAAACCAACTACCCCACACTTTAACTTTTACAAAGTTCATTACAATTCAAGTGCTTATGAGAGGTGAAAAGGTTCAAATAGATGGTTAATTCAAATAACTGGGTAAGTTTTGTAATGTGGTTGCCAAAGAAACATGATTACATGCTCAAAGGGTTAACTTACGATACATAACAATTAGGCGGGTAAAATATATATATCTAGCTCAACAAAGAAACGCCTATATCACTTCCAAGACTGAACAAAACTAAGTCTAAGATTATACAATTTAAGGTACTTATATAAGAGTCAAAAACTGAGTCTAACCGTCACAACCAAAGTACTCACTATTCTCAAGGCCTAACAAGTCAAGAGATATTGCTCCCATTCAATTCACCTCATAATAACTCCTACTCCTAAAAAACTAACTACACTCGGTTCAAACAAAACCCTTGGAAAAGAACCGTGGCACAAAAAAATCAATGGGTAATTACTACACTACCTACAAACAAAATCTTTTTGTCCTTTTTATTTAGACTTAAATCCGTCAAGAAAACTGTCTAGGAGATCCATCATCGGGAAGAGTCCAATTTTTCGACTTTTTTTTCTGATTTTTCTTAGGAGCTACTAACATACTACACAACTACGAAAACAAAGATAATAAGTTAAAATTTTTCTACATCCTATTACTAATTATCTATAGAATTCTCCCACCCCACACTTAAAAGAGTGCAGTGTCTCCAGTGCACAAATAAAGCAAAATAATAATGAGGGTGGACAAAAAACTCTCTGAAAGGCCAATGGCCGAAGCAAAAGTGGCTCACGGGGTACTCAGACTTCCCTCGGGCATGGTCCTTTGTGTGGGCATCCCGCACTTAGTTCTAACCATCTAACTCACTTCTTCATTCTTCCGATGGATTTCCTATGCTTATAATCCTACAAAACAAAAACAGACACTACAACAAAAATAAGAAAAAAATAGAAATAAAAGAAAGCAGTAAAGATGGGTTGCCTTCCAACAAGCGCCTGATTTAACATCGCGACCCGACACTGCTGCTCTCCTTAGGCTGGGTGCTTTCTCTTCTTCTTTCTCCCATTAATACTAGCCTTTTTACATGCTCTCAGAAGGTCTCTTCTTTTATATCTGGCTCTTTTCTCAATCATCCTTACACACTCAGCTTGCAACACCACTTCCTCCAACTCAGTTGTCCCATCTGAATCACTATAATTCACACAAGGACTCTACTCTATCCCCTTCAGTTCTACCACAGTAATCATACATAACTCCTTATAATGCTTAGGGAGCTTAAGTAACTTGTACACATTAAAAGTGATTTCTTCATCGTCAACTCTCATCTTTAATTTCCCTTCCCTAACATCAATAATCGCTCCACCAGTAGCTAAGAATGGTCGCCCCAAAATAATAGGTACTTCCTCATCTGCCTCGTAATCAAGAATAATAAAATCAACAGGAAGAATAAACTTTCCCACTTGAACTAACACATCCTCAATAATTCCTTCTAGCATAACTAGTGACCTATCTGCCAAGTGTAAAGTGATTGTAGTAGGTCTAAGCACCCCCAATCCGAGTTTCTTGAACAAAGATTATGGCATCAAATTTATACTAGCCCCTAAATCACACAGAGCTCTACCAACTTCTTGTTTTCCAAGAGATAGAGAAATTGCGAAACATCCAGGATCCTTCAACTTAGGAGGGAGTTTACTCTGAACTCTAACACTACACTTTTCAGTAAGTGCAACTGTTTCAAACTCTGTATGTATTCGCTTGTTTGCCAAAATATCTCTGAGATACCTTGCATACAGAGGCACTTCCTGCAAAATTTCTACCAAAGGAAAATTCACACGCACTTGGCTCAAAATATCTAAGAATTTCTTGTACTTAGTGTCGTCTTTTTGCTTTTGCAGTCTTTGTGGAAATGGAGGTGGTGGTCTTGCCACAATTACTGGCTCTGATCCTTTGTTCTCATTCTTATTCTCCTCAACTGGCTTAGGAACTAATTCTCCTTCAGGACTAGCTGTATACTTCTTTTCTCTGGAAATTCTTTTAATACTCTTCCATTTCTCAAGGTAACCACATTGACTTGAGCCTTAGGATTAGGCTCAGTATTACTCGGGAGAGCTCCAGCAAGTCTAAAATTCTGATTGTTAGCCTTTTTGTAACGATCCGACCAGTCGTTTTGAGCTTTTGCACTTTGCTCACCAGTTCTTGGGCATGACTAGCCCTGTGTGATGAATTATGACTTATTTAAATTGTTGGTTTTGGTTTTCAAGAAAATCGAATGAATTTGAAAGAACAGTCTCAGATGAAAGCTTTGAATTTGAAAGGTTTGACCAAGAGTTGACTTATTTGTATATGAGCTCGGAACGGAATTTTTTTGATTTGGTTAGCTTCGTTGGGTGATTTATGACTTAGGAGAGTGATCGGAATTGGTTTTGGAGGTCCAGAGTAGATCTAGGCTTGAATTGGCGAAGTTAAGATTTTTGGCGATTTTTGGTTGGTAGGTGAGATTTTGATCCGGGAGTTGGAATAGAATTCCGAGAGCTGAAGTAGTTTCATTATGTCATGTGGGATGTGTGTGCAAAATTTCAGGTCATTCGGACGTGGTTTGGTTGGATTTTTTATCGAAAACGTATTTCGGAAGATTTCTCAAAAACTGGGCTTGAATCCGATGTGTTTTGGGTAATTTGATGTTGTTTGAGGTGCTTTGATGATTGTAACAAGTTTGAATAAGGTATTGGGTCATGTTGGTGCTTTTAGTTGAGGTCCCGAGGGCCTCGGGGTGAATTCGGATGGTTAAATGGTATTGAACCCCTACTGAAACTGTCGGAAAGCATTTTCAAATGATTTTACCAAAAGGCTGGATTTTAATAAGATGATCGACTCGTATTCTGAATTAGCAGCCTGTGTGCTTATTGAGTTATCATGAATGTGGATTCATTGTTTCCTACTGCTCAGTCTTTATTTACTCGTATCACTAACTGGGTTGGAGTACTCATATTACTCCCTGCACCTCGTGTGTAGATTCAGGTATTTCAGAACCCAGTAGCGGGTATTGATTGCTCAGATGTGGAGTCATCAGAGTTAGCAAGGTGGCTGCACGACGTTCGCAGCACTGCTTCTTCATCTTATTTCCATTTCTGTACTTAGTACACTTGACTATTTTTTTGTTGTATTCAGACCTTGGTAGGTGCTCATGACTAGTGACACCCCGATGTCGGGCTTGTGTAATTATTCCGTATTGTTCTTCTAAAAGTTCATTATGAAATTAATGGTTATAAATGGTATAGAAACCACTTTTAAATGGAAAATGGTTGATTTGGGAATTGTGTCGACTGGCCTTGTCTTCATGAGAGGCACCATCATGACCGAGTCCGGTTTGGGGTCGTGACAAGTTGGTATCAGAGCCTAGGTTACATAGGTCTCACGAGTCATGAGCAGTTTTAGTAGAGTCTCGTGGATCGGTACGGAGACGTCTGTATTTATCCTCGAGAGGATGCAGAACCTTTAGGAAAACTTCATGTTCTTGTTCTTATCGTGCATCCTTGATTCAGCTTGAAATGTAACTCTTTGAATTCCTTCCACGTGTTTGTATGCGCGCATGAGCGCTCAGTATCAGATGTGCCTTGATGGCTTGTGAATCCCCGATCGAGGGGCGAGATGTGATCTCTGTGAGTTGATGTTGGGCCAGTCTGGAGGACTTGAGGCCAGATCTTTGCCTATGGCTTGAGCACTGAGGTACTGATTGTATGAGCAAGTGTTTTGAACTTATATGTTCGGTATCGTCCCTATTAGTGGGAGTGATGGTTGGATAACTATGTGATGAGTATGTTAGTACTGCGAGATGTATCTATACGACTTGGAAGTGTCAAGGAAGGTCTGCTGGAGGATAGAAGAACTATTAGGTGCTAGAATTCCACCTTGATTCAAGGTATAGCCCCGAGTTATGGGCGTGTGAAGAATCTTTTCATGTTTCCTAGTTGGGAGTGAAGTAAATTTCATGTTGCGCTATGGGTTCAGACTCAAGAAGACTAAGTGACTGTGGAAAGTTTACGATAGTGGAAGCGGGAATGTTAGTTTGAGGCAAATCATGTGGGTTATCTCCTGCAAAGTGTTTGGAAGTTGTGCGATCCTTATGTTGTCTATTAGCATATCTCATCTGCAAGTGAAAGACTTGTGTCATAATTTAAATGGGTTGCTTAAGAGAGGGGCCTAACTGTTGTGAGAGTGAATGCGAGATTTGTAGAAGAGTTAAAGTACTAGAGGATCTGTGTATGGGAATCTCAGAGTGTCTTGAGCTGTTGTGGTAATGGATACTCGGTGCATAGAGCAGGAAGTGGCTTGGTTGTTCTAGGATGAGGTAACACCCTGCGGTGTCGGTATGCTATTGAGGCACGGGTGGTTCTGTTCATTTGATCAGGCTAATTGCAGTTTGAATAGAGTGAATGACTCTCGAGAATGGTTCTAATGTGTTCAAGATTTTACATATAACAATTAGGTATTTTAAAGTTGTATCTGAGGTTAGAAACTGAGTTTTCATTAGAAGATGTTGAGACTTGTGGTATTTTCTTTATAAATTATAATGTTCTATGTATCAGTACCAGGAAGGTAAAGGTAACAGATTTAGATTCGCAGGAAGTCTCTTCAAAGCAAAGTACTTTGATCGTGGTGCTCGTGGGAATATATGAGAAAGTATTCAGCGGCTTATGAGCCTTAGACGGTGTGGCTTTATGCTTGGGTCCCGTGTGGTAAGTCTGGGTTGAGGAATTGTGATGTTATAGCAAGAATGAGTACCAAGTTGAAGGTAAATCAGAAGGAAATTCGGATAGATGGGATAGCTTGGTAGTAGGCCGAGTTGGTATGGTAAGGATACGATTAGTTCTTTGGATGCTTAAGAGATAATGAGTTTCTACAGTGTTTCTCGGCAATTCTCTTGGGTTTTAGTGATCTGCGTAGCTCGGTTGAGTTCGAAGGATTCAGTCCTGGCAGGTTTGGTTTGTGCAAGGGGAACTCGGAGAGTTCTTGATGGTTTCGACCACGGTTGGAAATGTATATTTTCTATGGGCATGAGGAGCATGGTATGTATAGTTATTTTCTTCTAGATGGGAACAATGGAAAGTTCTTGGTTGGTTGAGTACATAGTTGCTTGTGGCTCGGAAGAGATACAAGGTTTTTGTGGTTATCCTAGAATGGTACGGTTTATGCGGTATGTTGTGTAGGAGTGAGATTGGCATGTGTAAGGTCACGGTTCAGATTTGAAAGGAAGGTCATAAATTCTTAGGCAGCATGGGCAGTTCAGATAAATTGAAGAAATGAGCTTCAGATGATTTGAGAAATACTCTTTAGATGATTAAGGAAATGGTAATACTAATTGAGGTGATTGGACTAGGGTATATGATTCAGAGAGAGGTAATGTGATTAAGTTGATGGTACTCCGGTAGTATTGCAGCACTTCTTGTCAGATCGGCTGTTGATATTCGAGTTTGCTTGGCAGCACAGAGGAATCTTAGAGTATCTCTCATGGAATGATTGAGTACTATAGGTGAGTTATATATGCGAGTGGCAGAATTGGGATCAGATATGGTACTTCGTGTGTTTTGTGGACTTGGAAACGGGAAGTTCTCATATGCAGGTTAGCTCGTGGTTGTGGATGGCAAAATGTGGTAAGTTAGTCAGATGTTAGTATGTGTTATGATTCAGTCATTGTGAACCTTCGAAGGATTATTTATCTATTGTAGGTAACTAGAGTTGATGTGTTGACCATTGGTAAACCTATATGGATATGTGTCCGACATCGAGACGGCCTTGTTGACTTCGAGTTGCTGTAGGCGAAGGATGTGTTGATTCGGTTGTTATTGAGCTTATTGGTAATCTAGGGAGATCTACGAGTTACCTTTCTGTGTTGCGAGACATTATGATCTGTTGATTATAGGCACCTATAGTGCGGTTCTGTCGGAGTTTCATAGTGGAAGTCGAGCAGGAAGAATGATTGGGTGTTGCTCGGTGAATGGCATATCAGTTATGTCCTTTTGGATTTGCGTGGTGTATGTTATTTGTTTCACCGTGGGTGTAATGATTTGCTTTGGCTCCAGACATCAAATTGTGTGTGGTTGTCGATTTTGAGCAGAGTGACTCGAGGAGTTTCGTGTGGAGCAGCGTTTGGATAGGATCGCGCGTTGTAGCGAAGCTATGTGGAGTTATAATCTTGCGGGTTAGATTTGTGTGTTCTATTCTATGATGTTAGATGGGTTCTCAGCCTTGTGTTGTGGTGGTACTAGTGAGCTTGAGGTACAGCTCTTTCATTTGAGTCATTTTTCATGATTTGATTATGTTCGGACCGTTGCTTATTGGTGCGCATATTATGCTAGTTGTGGCTTAGGCCTCTATTGATGTGTCATGTCACTAGAGTGGTGTGTTGGATTAGAGGAGATCGTTGGGATCATCAATGAATATGAACAGATTCAATTTCAGCATGTTGAAAGGTTAATATCGAAGTTCGGCTCGAAAATTTGCTATGGTATTTGTCAGAGGAGAAGTGGCTTCATGGATGGGTGATCTGAGAAAATGGTTATGGTTTATTGCGTATTTCATTTATTGTTGGCAGTATATGATAGTGTTGGAATGAGGCTTTGGCTGATAAGAGATTTTCTACTAGTATTCGGTTGTTGTGGACAACTGATATGAATAGAAGTTATCGCTACGAGTGTTTGAGTTATGTGGTATATCATGGGATTGATCCTGAGGTTGCAAGCATGGGTTATTACAGTTGGTTCGGGTCTAATCAGAGTATAGGTGTGAGGTTTTGATCGTATTGATGGTTTCAGAAGTGGAAATGTGGTTCTATGGTTTATGGGCTAGATTGGGATTGTGTAATTTCAGTTACAAGGTGTTATCGGACCTATGTGAGATAGGGTGACGTGGGATCACCCCCGGGTATATGCATGGTAAGGTTATTCAGTGATTGGTTGGCTTTTGGAACAACTCTGGGCACGTTCGAGGACAAACATATGTTTAAGTGGGGGAGGATGTAATGACCCGACCGGTCGTTTTGAACTTTTGCACTTTGCTCGCCAGTTCTTGGGCATGACTAGCCCTGTGTGATGAATTATAACTTCTTTAAATCATTGGTTTTGGTTTTCAGGAAAATCGGAATGAATTTGAAAGAACAGTCTCAGATGAAAGCTTTGAATTTGAAATTTTTGACCAAGAGTTGACTTATTTGTATATGAGCTCGGAATGGAATTTTTTTGATTTGGTTAGCTTCGTTGGGTGATTTATGACTTAGGAGCGTGATCGGAATTGGTTTTGGAGGTCCGGAGTAGAACTAGGCTTGAATTGGCGAAGTTGAGATTTTTGGCGATTTCCGGTTGGTAGGTGAGATTTTGATCTGGGAGTCGTAATGGAATTCTGAGAGTTGCAGTAGTTTCGTTATGTCATGTGGGATGTGTGTGCAAAATTTCAGGTCATTCGGACGTGGTTTGTTTGGGTTTTTGATCGAAAATGTATTTCGGAAGATTTCTCAAAAACTAGGCTTGAATCTGATGTGTTTCGGGTAATTTGATGTTGTTTGAGGTACTTTGATGATTGGAACAAGTTTGAATAAGGTATTGGGTCATGTTGGTGCTTTTGGTTGAGGTTCGGGGGGCCTCGGGGTGAATTCGGATGGTTAATGGGAAGATTTTGGACTTAAGAGATCCCAGAAGTTGCTGCTTCTAGTATTTCCGCACCTACGGATTGGGGACCGCAGGTGTGGTGCCGCACATGCAGAAGAAGAGCCGCAAAAGCGGTTTGGGAAGAATAGCTAGGGACCGCAGATGCGGCATATGGACCGCACCTGCGGAGTCGCAGATGTTGCTCGTGGACCGCAGATGCGGAACCTGGCCCCCTAAGTGATTTCCGCAGATGCGGAGAAAATGACCGAAGAAGCGGTACCGCAGGAGCAGTGGTGGGGTCGCAGATGCAAAAACTCCTGGGCAGAAAGTTTATAAGTCATTTTATCCGCGATTTTGAGCCATTTTTCCTCCATAACCGAGTATTTTGAGAGCTTTTTGAAGGTGATTAAAGAGGGATTCTAGGAGAATTGATTGGAGATAAGATTTTCGAACCTAAAACTCAATTATATTGTGAAATCTACCTAGAAATTCATGGAAAACTAAGCCTATTGAAGAACTAGGGCTTGAGAAATTGGACTTTTGAATTGGGATTTGAAGGACCATTTGAGGTCAGAATTGAGAATTTTTGGTATGTATGAACTCGTGGGGTGATAAGGAATCTAATTATGTGAAAATTTCTGAGTTTCGAGAAGTGGGCCCGGGGCTCGAGTTTTGCTAATTTCGGCATTTTCGATATTTTTCGATTGTTTTCGCTTGGGTTTTGTTCCCTTAGCATATTGTGATGTATTCTTTCTGATTTTGGATAGATTTGACGCGCGTGGAGGCCGATTCGAGGGGCAAATGCGTCGCGAGCTAGAGTTGTAGCCGGTTCAAGGTAAGTGATGATTGTAAATGCTGTTCTGAGGGTTTGAAACCCTGGATTACACATTGTTGTGCTATGTTGAGGTAACTTACACGCTAGATGACGAATGTGGGGTAGAGCACTGCTGGGGATTGTGACTCAGTCCATTCCGAACCAATATTTTAATGTGTAATTGTTTGATGTTATTATATTTTGGGTTGTATGCCATGTTTGGGGCCTTGTGCCGACCTGTTGAAACCCTTAGGGGCATTTCCACTATTTTTCCTCACTCTATTTGTTTTGAAAGCATATCCTCAGTCTTATTTTACCTGTTTATTGTTTAAACCTGGTTTATCACTTTATTTCTTAAAAATATGAAAACTGTTTGGGCTGAGTTCCCTATTTTACTGATGGTCCGAATGATCGTGAGGTTGATGACTGAGATAGACCAAGAGTCTGATTGTGAGGTTAATGACTGAAAGAGGTCGAGAGCCTGGTTGTGAGGATTATATAGTTATGGATCGGGCTGCATGCCGCAGCAATATATATATGTATATGGATCGGGATGCATGCCGTAGCGATACTTATATGGATCGGGCTGCACGCTGCAGCGATATGTTGGATCGGGTTGCACGCTGCAGCGATATATGGATCGGGATGCGCGCCGCAGCGGTTACTATATGGTACCTATTGAGTGTGAGTGCTGAGTGTGAGCGCTGATTNTCCCGAGGGGCCGATTATGGTTTTTTTTCATCTCTTTTATTATAAATGGTATTGAAGCCCTACTGAAACTGTCGGAAAGCATTTTCAAATGATTTTACCAAAAGGGTGGATTTTAATAAGACGATCGACTCATATTCTGAATTAGCAGCCTGTGTGCTTATTGAGTTATCATGACTATGGATTCATTGTTTCCTACTGCTCAGTCTGTATTTACTCTTATTACTTATTGGGTTGGAGTACTTACATTACTCCCTGCACCTTGTGTGCAGATTCAAGTATTTTAGAACCCAGTAGCGTGTATTGATTGCTCAGACGCGGAGTCATCAGAGTTAGCAAGGTGGCTGCACGACGTTCGCAGCACTGCCTCTTCATCTCATTTCCATTTCTGTACTTAGTACACTTGACTATTTTTTTATTGTATTCAGACCTTGGTAGATGCTCATGACTAGTGACACCCCGATGTCGGGCTTGTGTAATTATTCTGCATTGCTCTTTTAAAGGTTCATTATGAGATTAATGGTTATAAATGGTATAAAAACCACTTTTGAATGGAAAATGGTTGATTTGGGAATTGTGTCGGCTGGCCTTGTCTTCATGAGAGGCGCCATCACGATCGTGTCCGGTTTGGGGTCGTGACACTTTTGCCCAAACTTCCTCTCTAGATTTTTGAACTCTGTGCGCAATTGTTGATTGTCTATCAAGAGCTTTTTCATCATGTTAGTCAAACTCTCTTCTGCTTGCTGTGGAGGTTGAGGTGGATGATTGTAATTCGCTTGAGGCCTGATATTCTAATTTCCACCCCAAGATAAATTAGGATGATTCCTCCAGTTCGGATTGTATGTGTTATAATATTGAGCATTTTCACTCATCGTCCCTCTAGCTTGTTGCCCCGCGTAGTAGATGGATTCAGGATTCATGGAGCATATGTCACTTGTGTGACCTTCACCGCATAACTCGCACCAAGTAGACATCTACTGCACATGCTGTATCTGTTGTGCTTGGTGTATTGTTATTTTATTCATCTGATTTACTAATCTCGCTATATCGACCCTCATGGCTGAGAAATCATGAAGCTCGATCACACCTGCCGCCTTTTGTTTAAGTTCTCTTCGTGGTTCTCCATCTCCATGCCAATTATTATCATTAGCAGTGAAATTGTTTAGCAGGATCTGGATCTCATTATACGGTCTTTCCATGCAACTACCCGCACATGCTGCGTCAAGATTCATCTTTGATGCCTCGTCTAACCCATCAACGAAAGTGTGACCCAACACCTCATCAGTCTAACAATAGTGTGGGCAGTCTCTGAGTAGCTTCTTCTATCTTTCCCAAGCTTGTCGATGAGTTTCACCATCTCGTTGTTGAAGCCCAAGAATCTGGCTCCTCAACGACTTTTTCTTCTTAGTGGGGAAAAAATTGATTAAGAATTTCCTTGTTAGATCATCCCATTTGTGGATTCAGTTCACAGGCACCTTTTGCAACCATTCCTTAGCTTCCCCCAACATTGAAAAGGGAAACAGTATCAGCCTGACATAGTCCTTGGAAACGTTCGGATAATTGTAAGTGTTAGTGATTTCCAGGAAATTCTGAATGTGCCTCTGCTAGTCCTCACTCTATGAAGTGTTCGTTCGATTTAGGATCAAGAGGAAGGAGATTATTTGCGCTTGTACTCCTCCGCATTCAAGCGAAGAGCCTGCGTTATCACAAATAAAGCAAACTAAAAATTAAAACTTGAACAAATAACGAATAAAAGCTTAACTTAAATAAACAATCAATAACTAAGTCCCCGATAACGGTACCAAAAACTTGTTGGTTCCCCAAGAATAGGCAAGTATACGTGACCGTCAAGTGATAAAGTGACTCGAAAGTCGGATGTCGAACCCACAGAGACTTAGATTGATCGTTAACTAAGCAAACTAAAATCAATTAATTATCCAAAATATTTAAGATTGATGTTTTTATTTTAATCTACTATTGCAAAAATTAAATAAGTAACAACTAATTTATCAAGAATGCAAATGTGTATGATGAGATTTTACTTCAGAGGAGATGAAAATTCCAGGGTTGTGGTAGGTTTATCAATCCTATTAAGTTCAATGATCACACTCGCTAATCCATATTATCTAAGGTTGCTAATTAATCGGATCGTTTATATGAATAGCATGTTCCCACAATACTACTCGTCTGCCCACAATATATCAATCCTATATTCTATGGTATTGAGTCTATCATGAACGAATATAATACGATATTCAATTAAGCAAGACTGTTAGGTATATTCCTATCCTAACCGTGAAATTGTCCCTCGAGCCACGAGTTCAGAAACAAGCTCTCTCTAATTCTACTCTAATCTAAACATAGCTTTTCCAAGCATAGCATAGATAGTAGGGTAAATTGGTAGCTACAACAATTCATAAATTAAAGATAGAATCAAAGAAACAACCACAAGATGATAATCCGAATTAACGAATATGTAATTAATAAACGTTAATAATTATGTCAACCACAACCCTATAACTAGAGTTCTTAGCCACTCATGTTCGTAGTAATAATTTTCCAAGTATTTTGCATAAACAAATTACAAAGAAAAAGATAAAGGAATGAAGAACTCTATGATTTTCTCATCCAAAAGTTGTTCCACATGATATTCTTGTCTTTGGTCGCAAAAACTCCTCTAAAATGGTGTTTTGATGACTATTTATATGTGTAGGAAAAAGACCTAGACGAAATAACCAAGTTCAAAACCAAAAAAGAAGACAAAATAGGCTTTAAAATCCGGGACACCCTCGCTATAGACCGTGCGACGCAAAGGCAAAACGCGAGCTTCATCTCGCTGTACACTGTGCCTTGCAAGCTCTAACGCGAGCTTGATCTCGCTTTAACCTAGGCGGGGCGAGCTCTGTCACGAGAAAATTATCTCGCATCGCCTGACTCTTTCTTCGGTTCAATTTGCTGCCTAACTTTTGCATTTCACGTTTTCTCTTCTTTTCCTTACTTTTCAATTCTTTGCATTGTTTCTTTTTCCACATTGAATGATTTTGGTCTCCAATCATAAAGACTCTATTTAATATTAATTCACCATATACTCCAAATTCGTCATTTTGTTCAAAATTCATCTCCAAAGTACCTACACATAAAATAAACTCAATTAAGAACACATATAGTATAGTTTGGTATTAAAGCACCTAAAATGTAAGGTAAGTAATGCACTAAAAATATGGAATTATAGCCAAACATCAGTAACAGACCTCAGCAACGATAAATCGAAGTAAGAGTTATGGTATAGTATGACCTACTTAGATGTAGAAAAGACATAGATGCCCAGAGGGACAACTTGTCATAATTCTGTATATGTTCACAAAGTGAAGCCTAGAGATCGACTAAAAGCTAGAGGAAAAAGGAGAGAAGAGTCACATAGGCCCACATACAAGGACAAAGTCGTATAGATTGCATGATAGAAGGTAGCAATAGTTACGAGATTAGAAGAATCCCGACCACAAGTCGTGGTGTGAGAAAGAGGCCTAAAGGGGGGAATACCCTGGCCTTTGGATTTATTCACAGAACAGTTGCCTAGATGGCAAGGAGAGTACTAAAGTATTCTCAAGAGCGATAGGTTATGAGAATGATAAATGCATCAGTCAACATTCGAGGACGAATGTTCCAAATGGGGGAATGATGTTATACCCCATGTTTTCGTACGTGAAAGTACGCCATAAATCAATTGATTTAAGATTGGAAATGAGATTCTCTTTGAATGTATATAAAGTGATCTAATGATATTACATCTGCATTTCCGTTCAGCATACAAACAACTAGGTTGAGGACGGATGCACTTAAAAGCGAGAAAGGAGATTTTGGACAAATAAAAACGAGTTGCTTGCCTACCCGACATGCCTGCTTCACCAACTTACTTTTCGTCCTACTTGCTTGAGCCACTCGACACATGTCTGAATTATTTAATGAGGATGAGACACATATTTCAAAATAGAAAAAGAACCAACATGAATCACCTACTTGATTAAGTAGGTGACAAGTAGGTGAATCACCTACTTAGAGCTTGTGGAACAAATTAAAAGGGAATGGAAAAGGATAGAGATGGACAAGTCTTGGGGAAGCCCAAGACCCATCTGCCCAAGCCCATTAGTAGGGCCAAGAACAAGTTGGTAAGGTGATTTCTCTCTTGGAAGAACAAGATCACCTAGTTATCTCTCTCTACTTTGTTGTTTGGGGTAAAGAGCTTGTTTGAGCTTGAAGTAAAGCTTACTTGGACAAGTAATCTTGCTGCGAAGGTAAAGTTTAACTTCTCCTATATGTTTAAAGATCATCTATGTATATCTAATTGATTTGTTAAAGGAACCTTGTAAAGTAGTTGTTGGACTATTTTTTGCAGTTGAATTCTTGATGTTTTATGGCTGGAAATCAGTAGAAATAACTTAAGAATATGATTTCTATTGTGGTTGATGTGTTTGGAAGAAGAGAAGGCTTGGAAAGTGCAAGTTAGAACTTGATTGTTAGGTGAGATGGTGTGGACTGTTTGGTAATGAATATTTGTTGACATTCTGGACATGTTGGGCTTGTTGTTTGATTTGAGGAAATATGAAAAGAATAAGGGGAGGTGCTGTCAAAAATTTCGTAGACGATCTAGTCGCACATTTGTGTTGAGTTCTAGCTTCCGTAAGCTTAACAATGGTCTCTTGTTGTTTGCTATAGATTGAAGTACTAACGGGATGAACCGATGTCCTGTGGTTAAGTAAACTACAAATGTATGTTAAGGCTATCCCTTCTTTTCTTTTGGCATGATTCATACGATACAAACGAAACGAGCAAACGTACAACTTTCGAAAATAGCTCTATTCATAGAAGCACTAGGGGTGCTTATGTTCTTGATTCCCCATGTGTTTTATTATTATATCTTCTGTTCATGGGTCTCAGAAAAATACGTAGTTGATAAAGTTTATCCGAAGGCATATTGATCTTATGACGTTCCAAGAGATCTTAGTGACTTACTTCTTATGCATTGCATTCATTTATACATGTATATTGACCCATGAATAGATGGAATTATATACGCATATATTATATGTATATGGGGTTTGGGGAAAGGTTATATACGCACCACCACCTGATCAACTGGTATACGTTGATGATTTTACCCACAATGGCCGAGATGGTATGATGGGATGCCCTCAGAGGCTTGATAATGTTATGTATGCATATACCTATGCAAGGTATGTTATTTATACACACGCATGGTATTATAAATGTTTCATGATTCACAAAGCTGTTCAGACTTACAAGTTGAGTCTTTTACTCCATGTTTCTTTCATAACTATTATATACTGCTTTTTATGCCTTACATACTTGGTACTTTATTTGTACTAGCGTCCTTTTTGCTTGGGGACACTGCGTTTCATACCCGCAGGTCCTAATAGACAGTTTGTCAGTCCTCCAAGTACGCTATCAGCTCAGCAAAAGGTGTTTGTGGACTCCATTTGCTCCGGAGTTGCCTGTTTGGTCAGTATGATTTTAACATGTATTGATTGGTATGGCGGGGTCCTGTCCCAACCTTTATGACATATATGTACTCTTAGAGGCTGGTAGACAGATGTCATATATATGGATACTTGTATGGCCTTGTCAGCCTATGTTTTGATTTTACAGATGACCATCTCGGTCGTATAGGCTTGTATGTCACATGTATATGTTTGTATACCATGTTGGGTCGTCCTATATCGAGTATTCTCTTATGTTTATTCTGGTTTTCTCATGAATGCTTTCTAGTTCATTGGAGCATGATAGTATGATACGAAGGATATGTTACGTTGGTACTCGATTGAGTTAGGCACCGGTTCCCGTCGCGGCCCTTCGGCTTGGGTCATGACAGTTAGTCAAATTAACAGTTCTAATAGACTGTCTAATTATGTTGCCCGCATGTGGTTTTAACACGATACCGAGCCTGGACCCTTTCGCATTGGATTCACTGTTCTTGAATAGGGTCCATATACCCGAATTAGTCCCCGAGGTGAGCTGCAATTACCTTCCGACCTCGGGTGTCAAGGCCGGTGTAAAGTCGGCCACAAAGTCTGCCAAAATCTAAGATTTTATGGCATTCCGGGGTCGATACTCGATATTGTACCCGCTGATCTCCACGACCCATTTGGCTAGCCGACCGAGAGCTCAGGCTTATGCATGATATTCCTCAACAGGTAAGAGGTTACGACATATATGTTGTGGCATTGAAAGTATGATTTTAGTTTCCTGGAAGCGCTTAGTAAGGTGAGCGCTAACTTTTCTAGGTTAGGATACCTTGTTTCGGCATCGCCTTGGGTTCTACTAACATAATAAACGGGAAATTGTATACCTTCTTCCTCCGGACTAACACACCACTTAACCCTTCCTCGGAAACCGCCAAATAGAGGTACAGTTGTTCGTCTGCCATCAGGGTGTGCTGCAAAGGGGGCTCAACAAGTATCGCTTGAGTTCTTCCAAAGCTTGTTCGCATTCCGAAGCCCAAGAAAAATTGTTCTTCTTTTTCAACAGCGAGAAGAACTGATGGCTCTTATCCGATGACCTCGAGATGAACTGGCCCAACACGGCTATCTGCGGCCAGTCTTTGAAATGCCTTAGCGTTGTCGACTACGGTGATGTCCTCTATGGCTTTTATTTTGTCGGGGTTGATCTCTATCCCCCGATTAGATACCATGAACCCGAGAAACTTGCACGAACCGACCCCAAATGCACACTTCTTCGGGTTAGCTTTATGCTGTACTTCCTTAGTATGTTGAAGTTTTCCTGTAAATGTTTCAAATGGTCCTCTGCTCGCAGGGACTTAACCAACATATTGTCAATAAACTTCCATTGATTTTCCTATTTGTTCTTCGTACATCTGATTTACTAGGCATTGGTATGTGGCACCGGCGTACTTTAGTCCGAACGGCATTACATTATAGCAGTAGATACCGAACATTGTTATGAAAAAAGTCTTATCTTGATTGTCCGGGTACATCCGAATTTGGTTGTACCCAGAGTAATCGTCGAGAAAACTGAGTATCTCGTGTCCGGCCATTGTGTCGATCATTCGATCGATGTTAGGCAAAGGGAAAGAATCCTTCGGACATGCCCTATTTAGATCCTTTTGATCTATGCACATTTTCAATTTATTCCCTTTTTAGGTATTACCACTACATTAGCTAACCTATCCGGGTATTTAACTTCTCGGATGGAACCTATTTTTAGAAGTTTGGATACCTCGTCCTTGATGAACGCGTGTTTGATCTCGGATTGCGGCCTTCTCTTCTGCTTGGCCGGATGGAACTTTGGATCCAAACTCAACTTATGAGTGGTTACCTCCAGTAGGATCCATGTCATTTCTATATGGGACCAGGAAAAACAATCGGCGTTAGCTTTAAGAAAATCAATAAGTTTTTTCCTGGGCTCGAAGGTTAATCTCGTGTCCAGGTATACCTTTCGATCCGGTAGGTGTTCGATTAATATAACTTGCTCCAACTCTTCGACCATTGATTTTGTGGCATCGGTGTCATCAGGTGCTATAAATGATCTTGGGACACTGTAATCGCCCTCCTCATCTACTTCTTGTTCTTCTTGCTTCTCTGGTTCGGCTGAGGCTGGTATTATCGATTGCTACTTAGTTTCTTCTTTTTTGTCCGGTCCCGTACTTCTTGATGTTGAGACCACGGGTACCGGGATCACTTCATCGGAAACAAACATTTTCCTTGCGGCTAGCTGCTATCCATAGACCATTTTAACTCCCCTCGGTGTGGGAAATTTCTGCGTTTGGTGTAAGGTCGAAGGTACCTCCCTCATGTTATGGACCTATGGCCTTCCGAACAAGCGTTGTACCTTATATCCCCTTCGATCACGTAGAACTTCGTTTCTTGGGTTTTCCCGGTAGTGTTCATGGGCAAAGTTACCTCTCCTTTTGTGGTCTCACATGCCATGCTGAACTTATTAAATACCCTGTTTGTTGGCGTTCATGTTCCTAAAGTGGCTTTTGGCTCGCTCGCTTAGGAATTCTCGGAGGTGCCGTTGTTGAATAATCGAGCAACTTCTTCTCTCAATTGTCGGCAATCTTCGGTCCTATGACCGTGAGTGCCGTGATACTTACACATCAAATTAGGATCTCTCTGGCTAGGGTCGGACCGCAATGGTCGGGGCCACTTGCTCTCTTTGATGCGCCCTATGGCCGATACGATGCTTGCAGCGTCCATGTTGAAATTTTACTCCGATAATCTTGGTGTTTCCCTACTCCCGAGTGACCTGTTGAACCCGCTCTTTCTCATCAAGTCCCGGCCGCTCGACCCTCAATCACTTCTCTTCTCATTCCTAGTTGGGTGACGTCTGGATCCGTTTCCCCTCAGATCTGCGATGTATGGCTGATATCAATCCTGGGCAGGCATTGGCTCCTGATCAATGGCGCTCTTAGATCTATCATTGGTTCTGACAGGGTAAGCAAATCTAGAAGGGGGCCCGAGTTGGTCGTCTTCGACCCAGATCTTCGATTGGTACCGGTTGTGGATATCGACCTAGGTTACCGCTGGTACTCCACCAAATTTTGTTTTAGCTGTTGAGAGGCCACGGAACTTCGGGGGTTAAGCCCCTGATTGAATGCCTGAACGGCCCAATCATCCGCAACTGGTGGCAAATCCATCCGTTCCCTAGAATCTTGACACAAACTCCGTGAGCATCTTGTTGACCCTTTGTTGTACTTTAATGAGATCTGACTTTCTCGTCTCGACCTTGATGGCTCCGGCATGGTCCTTTGCGAAAGCATCTGCAAGCATAGGAAATGAGTCAATGGAATTTGGAGGCAAGTTGTGATTCCATATCATTGCTCCATTGGACAAAGTTTCTCCAAATTTTTTCAGCAACACCAACTCGATTTCGTCATCTTCCAAGTTGTTCCCTTTGATCGTGCATGTATAGGAGGTTACATGCTCATTTGGATCTGTGGTCCCATTATACTTGGGAATGTTGGGCATTCAAAACTCTTCGGGATCAGCT